GACCTCCCAGAGATCTCGGACGCAATGCGTGAAGCCCACACCAAACAATGCATATATAAAGACCTCACCTCCAAACTCAAAAGGCCTCACCTCCAGTTGGAACCATTCAACTAGGCGTCCAAGCCACACTCTAGGTAGGGACAGTTCAGCTAGGCATTCGAGCCACATTCTAGGTAGGGACAATTCAACTAGGCATCCGAGCCACATTCCAGGTAGGGATTTTTCAGGTAGGCATCCGAGTCACCTACCAGCCGGAAGCTGCCAAAACGCCCATCACCAACTATGATAGCAGAATGAAAAGATATCCAAAAAAATTATGACCAATCAACCAGTATCATAAACGTGTTAACTAGGGGTGGAAACGAACCGAGCTTTTCATGAGCTATTCGAGCTTAGCTCGTGAAAAGCTCGATTCAGCTCAATTTAAACTGAGCTCGAGCTTGAGCTCAATGAAGCTCGGATCGTGAGGCTCACGAACCTAATTGATTATATATATAATTTTTATTATATGTATAATATATATAATATTTTTATTTTTATGTAAAATAATAAATAATTTTTATAATTCTTATTTTTTGTATATAAAATAAAAACAATTTTTGTACGTATATTTTTTTTATTTTTTATATGTACAATAATAAATATTATATATAATATTTTTATTTTTTATATGTATGATAATAAATAATTTTTATAATTCTTAATTTTTGAATGCAAAATTAAAAGATATTTTTATATATTTAATTTTTATTTTTTATAGGAAGCTTGGCTCAAAGTTAAGCTCAAGTCGAGCCGAGCTCAAACTTACAAGCTTTTGAGTCGAGCATAATTTGAGCTCAAGCTTGACATTGTTTTGACGAGCTGGGCTCAAATAGCCAAGTATTCGGCTTGATTCCACCCCTAGTGTTAACTTATCAAAATTCACAGGTGGGTTTTGATGGATCAGAACTCTTCCGATACCATGTCTTTCCCGCATCATAGACCTCTATTTTATGTGAAAGTATTAATTATTTGTAATAAAAAAAAAAGTAAACAACAAATACAACACCTAGCTTACTAATTAAAGACCAATAAGAACTTCAGAAGGTAAGAAAACAGAATTAAATAATACATATAGGACAAGTAAGGTAAGTTAGGCATATAAAGAATTAAAAATCTATCATAATATGGCTAAGGCCATGTTTGGGAGTGCTTATTTGGGTCATTAAGCACTTATTTGTATTTGGGAAATAAGTCCAAAATAAGTGGTTATTTTAAAAATAAGGACTTATTTTTTAAGCGCAAATTTCCAACTTTTTTTAAGTGCATATATGATAAGCACTTATTCAATTTATTTCTTCCAAAATTATCCCTAGTTGATTTTTAAAATACCACTTATAAAATCATCCCTAGTTGAATTTTATAGAAGTACTTTTATGAAAGCACTTTTATAAAAGTACTTTTATGAAGACACTTTACTTTTACAAAAGCATTTTTATGAAAGTACTTTCATAAAAGTACTTTTGTAAAAGTGCTTTCATAAAAGTGTTTTTATAAAAGTACTTTCAAAGGGTATATTTCAGAATTTTGAAAGAAAATGAAGGACAAAATAGTCACAAACGCTTATTTAAGTGATAATTAGAGAAAAAACTATCAAATGCCCAATATAAAATAAGTGCTTATTTTATAAAATAAGTTAGGTGCCAAATGCCCAATAAAGTTAAGTGTCAAATACAAATAAATGCTTATTCGAATAAATACTTGTTTTTAAGCACTTATTTTTAACATAAACACTCTCAAACATGGCCCAAGTCTGGCACAAATAATAAATGGTAAGGGGGGCTGACTAGAATAATAGAAAAGGGCAGACCCAGAAAAAAAGATATAAGTTAAGATGGTAAGAAATGTTTTTTTTTTTTTTCGCTTTGAGGCAGTAAGAAATGATCTGAGGGTCCATAACTGAACAATGGATCTAAAGGTGTCAGCTAAATAAAACTTTTAGCAGATTGTAGTGCAGGCTTGTGATCAAGGATCAAAACATATCAATATGATACATCATATTATATCTGTATACAAGGTTGAGGATACATATACACAGGGATTAGGATACATATTATATCTGTATAGCAGATTGCCTAAGATTGAATCTCAACTTTATCATTAGGGTCCTGTGGGAGGGCAGCGGATTAGGTTTCAAAGGAAGGTTATACCGTTGTGTGACCCATTTACCTTAATAAAACAAAAATTTACAAAGGAAAATTGCACTAAACAGAAGGGAATGGTGAAACAGTATTTATGTAAATTTATATTTACATAAATATAAATGTACTTTTCCTGGGGCCTGTTTTCTTCTTCCATTATTGACAGTGGGAGGTAGTAGTAGTAGTGCTTAAAACATAATATTTCCATCTTAATGAAAAAATAATAATAATGTTTGCCTTGTTTTGAACATTTTTCGATATTAAGACTGAATATGGGCTTTGGGATTATATTAAACATGGGAGCAAAGGGCAATCTAATGGCCACATATGCTTAATCTCTAAGGAATCAATTTTTTTTTTTTTTTGTGGATAAGTTCTCTAAGGAATCAATTGGTCATATGTAGAACCCGTCTACCTGATGACCAAAATAAGTAGAGGATGAATTCAGCACTGAGCAGGGAAAGGCCCTCCTCTCAATATTCCATACTTGGCTCCCCTCATCATCCATTAATAATTAAGCAATAAACATGTTACGTGTGGGAAACCCCATGTAGCTTTCTGATTTTAATCTCTCTCTCTCTGAGAGAGGAATTTGATATAAAAAAAAAAGAGGGGTAAATTACAAATTACCACCCATATTTTAGGGCAGTGACACTTAGCCCTTTGGGATAGCACATCCCCACAGTCTACAAAACAAATGAGAGATAAATTAGAGGGGTTAAGAGAGAGGGAGTCCCCCCGAAGTTTTCTAGCACTAAGTGAATTAAAAGATCTGTGGCGAAATCCACAGGTTGAAAGCATCCACAAGCTCCTTACGGCTAGAAATTATGTTCCTTAAATGCCACCGGGGGAAGTAGACCAGTGAAGACAAGAAATGACCAGCTTCAAGTGGCCTTCGATGATGATAGGAGTGTCTTTGAAGTTAAGAGCAAAATAGCCCCCTTCAACTTTCATTTGCAATAAAACCCCTCATTCCAGCATTTTGCCTCCTTCATTAGTATTCTGTTGATATTAGCTTCAAAAATAAATTTCATGTGATTGTTAAACATTTTTAAATCCTCAAACTACCTTTTTCTATAATTTATGAGACTATTTTGTCTTTTTTTTTCTTGCATATTTGAGAAATGGACGAAAGAGACAACAGGTTTTGCCCAAACCAATTTTATTATTTTGAAATGACGTTCCTTGACCCATATGAATCTCAAAAGGTCATTTGAGTAAATTAAATTTTTTTTCTGTCAATCCAATTAATAATAGAGGGGGTAAAGTGTTAGAATGTGAAAGTTTATGAGGTCTTTGTCACAAATAAAAGTTAAGGGATTAGCTAAATTCAAATTAAGAGGGTGATAGATATATAAAATTTACGCAAATAATGACACTAACATTTTGATCTTAGGAAGGTATAAAAATATCTTTGCAGGCACGACACGTTTGGTTAATGACTTGACATAATTGAATATAATAAATAAATACATATTAACATGCACGTCACACTCCGCTCCTTTTCATCAATGGATTGTGATTACTGCGCTTGGCTTATCCATCCAAGGGGCCTTTCGCCTTTGACGACTGCTGAAGTGACTGAACTACTGAATTAGCTTTCTTTTTATCCAATAAAAGAAGCCAAAGTAACAAGTCATTCAGTTCAGCAGCCACTTCCGGTGCTATTCCTCGGATACCCCCCGGTCGATTGAGTGTGGGGTCCAAGGTTTACTCTGGAAGAAACACAATGGGTCCAATTTAATAATCTAAGTCTAAAGTTCAATGAATTGATTCTAGGACTCCAAACAAACTAGGGCCCTCTTCAAATATATGAATATAGATGACAGAGGCATTGTTTTCGGTGAGCCGGACAGCTACAATGATATGGGCCTCAGTTCAATGAGCATGATCTGGGCCTTATTTACTCACTACGTTTTGCATGCTATAAGGATGAAAAGGGAGAATCTACTATCGAGAGCCAGTCCCACCAACCTTCCCAAAGAAACATCTCAAACAAAGAATTAGGGCCCCTTCGGGAGGGCTGAAGCTTTGATTGAACTGTTTTCAATAGAGCGCTTTGATTAAAATTTGAAGTCTCACTACTCACTAGAAAACCAATCTTTTAGGCTGAATTTCACGACTTTTTCACCAAACAGCTTTCTAGGCTGTTCGATCGTATTGAGGCCCACCTCACAAAGCACAGACTACATACTGCAGAAGGGTTAACACCGTCATCAAGAGGGTAGACAATTGAGCGATTAAGTAGTAGGCCCAATCCACTAGATATATAACACGTGGCAATTTATAGTGACCTGGACCTACTCTGGGCTGGGCTATTTCAAGGCATTCCGTCCCTATACATATGATCGACAGGTAAATTATGGTATGAATTAATTACTCATTCAGTCATTCATTCTTACATCAATATTCCAAATTTGTTTTTAATTATTTCTAGCACTAGCGGCTATGCATATTCCCTCCAATTAAAATTTCAATCACAACTGAGATGGGTTAGGGTTAGGGTTAGGGTTGGCTAATCCGTTCAGGTTGGTCTTATATTCTGTGTATGACTATGAGGTTGGCAGTGGGCTGGATCCAAGGAAGGAGATTCAAATCTAGTGATAGACAGGACAAGGAAAATAGGGTTTCAATCCAAATTTGGATTGGACCCCAGCTGACCGTTGCCACCTCACACCACTCTCCTTTTTGAATATGGTGTATTGTATTGTAGCATTTTCACATCTCTACCCAACATTTATGATTAAAATGGCACACAGATAGAGATGGATGGAGAGAGAGAGAGAGAGAGACTGAGTGAGAAGCAGATAAAAACCACTGTAAATCCAAACAAATACAACTCTTCATCAGAGCTGTTTTCTCCTTTTTTTTATATGAACAAAAGATAACACAGACAGCAGCAGGGAAGGAGATAGAGAGAGAGAGGGGAGGAGGAGGAGGAGGAGGCCCTACCACCCCCAACCTTCCCCAAAAAAATAGAACTACTACATTCACAAAAACCCATAAACATCTTCATGGAAGCTTAAATATCAATCAGAGAGAGAGAGACGGAGATAAGACAGAGAACAACTTACAAGGAAAGAAGAGAAGAAAGAATAACAAATCATGTCTTCTGGTTTTAACTCTTAACAAATCTATCTATATATATATATATATATATATACTTATACCAAACGTGAAACGACTTAACCTTGATGGATCGACAATAAAAATCTTCATCTTCTTTCATGCCTTTGCTGGCTCTGGCTCTGGCTTTGGCTCTGCTTCTTCCACCTTGGCCAGAGCAGGAGCCTCCTCAACGGGGGCTTTCACCTCCTCTTCCTCCTTCTCTTCTGCTTCTATGACTATTTCCTTCTCTTTGCTTTCGGTTGTCGTGCCTGCTTCTGTCGTTGTTGTCTCCGCTGCTTTCTCTTCTATCACGATAAAGGTCGACACCTTCTCGAACACAAAAAATACTGGCCCCGAAACTAGTGGTGGCCCGAACTTTGAAGATGCTTCACTCACCTGTTTCGATCCCGGGAACTCTGCCGGCCGGAAGAAGAAATCGACAAGGAAAATTAGGTCATCAATATATATAATCTCACTCAAGGATATATATATATAAAAAAACAAATTCAGAAGCCAAACACCGTTTGATTTAATTGATTTAATTTATACCAATTTTAACTAGTTCTTCCAGGAACTTGTTAACTGCTGCTGAGTGCTTTTTGATTCCTCCATCTTTACGTTCCTTCACCAAAGTCTGCAGTAAAATGAAAATAAATCTTACTCTTCCTAGTTTCATGTATCGATAAACAGATATCTTTTTCGGTTCCTTTAAATCAAAAACGAAGCTTATACCTTGATTTCAGTGGAAGAAGCTTCATAGATTTCGATGACCTTGGGCTGGAGTTCAGTCTTCTTCTCTTCGAACTCCTTGTCGATCGTTTCCTGATCATCAGTTCAGAACACATGATGATGAGCAACCATATCAAAGATCGTTCACCACACACATCTTCAACTTCAACAACTAAAAAATGGATTCAAATCATCCAGATAAAGTAAGAAATGAAACAAACGCCCACCTTGGATTCATCAAAGGACTTGCATGCTTCAGCAGCAGCAGCCTTCTTAGTGCCGTTCTTCTCAAAAACCTTCTTGAGCTTGGGAAGAACCTTGGATTTCCAGTAACCCATATCGATTCTCAACTCAAAACCACGAACAAATCTAAACAAGAAGAGGAAGATTGAAAAGGGTTTATATCCAAGCAAAAAAAAAGATCTAACTCTTCAGACTGCAAAAAGAACATAGAATTTAAATCCAATAGATGGGTGTCTAGAGTAGCTACCAAGAAACAAAAATATACAACCACTGAGAAATGAGAATGAAGTGAAAGAACAAAATCTCAGAGAAATTCCATACGAGAAACTAAAGAGCAGAAAGACAAATCTCTCAAATCTCAATCAGTCCTCGCTGTTTTCTGCAATCTGATCTGTCGTCGTCTCCCCAACTATTTACCAGAAGCAGCCTACAGAGCCCAGCTCGATCAAACTGTTCCTGCCAACTGTCTCTCCACCAAAGGGCAAACAAGGTTTACAACCCCAGAGCGTGGCAGCAACATATAGACCTCCCATCTTACGAAATCACCCGTCCCGATGCTCCGAAATTACAAAATAACCCCACATTCATTCCACCAAGACCACCGTTTTGATCCAAGGAAGGGTAGTTCCGTAAATTGAGGAAGGTTGAATCCGGCGGGGAATATTTGGGAGCGGAAGTGACAGCTGGCAATAGCCTAATCGGAGGTGGCAATATCATATGTGGGTCCCTTGACTGCTCCAGTATCTGGTGGGTACAACTTCTCACGTGGCTTCGCTGGTGATTGGAATCACGCCGTCAAGGGCTACACTATTAAAATGTCCCCTGATGCGATCAGAATCTACCCTCCCTTACCTCTTTACTCAGGTGTCAATGGACCGGGCTTGGGTTGGTTACATAAACGGATTGAACGGATTAATAATAATAATAATAAGGCATTAAATTGGATCAATTTTAATGGTCCAAACTATTTATTGAATTGGATTGGACTTGGTACATTTGTAATGAATATATATCAATTAACTTAAGATAAGAGTATGGGTGTCAATGGACCAAAGATGAATTGGGCCCAATCAAAATTAAAACCAATTTGAACAGTTTGGACAACTCAAATATTGAATTAGAACGGTTCAAAATGGTTTAAATTATTCATTTGGATCGGTCCTGCTCCATCTGTAATGAATTCATACTAGACGGGATCAGTCCCGTCCATTGACACCCCTAGTTGTTAGTTGCTACTTTGCTCTGATTGTGTATAGACTACAGATTCGATTTAAAGTAAAAGAGGGCAATCAATCAATCATACAGCGCACATGCTTATGTCTCCGGGCTTCACATATTCCAGCCATGTTGGGTCGGGTGGATCATGCTTGTTTAAACAAACCCATATCCAGACCCGACAGATATACTAATTGGGAAGCTGGAAATTGACCATTGGTCTATTGCTTGCGTGAAGTGAAAACACTGAAATTTGCATAAAACAATGTTGATTTGAGATTTCTTTGCTTCTCTTCCCGCTATGTATTGCTGGCCAGTAGCCACCAACCGGGTGTGGAGTTGGACTCTAACCCTCATGGGCCCAATTTTGAAACTAATTATATAATTATGTCCAATGGTTGTGGACCCGGTCCAATTAATCTGGGCTGGCTCTGTCTGGTACCCATTGACACCCTGAACATAAGGTATGGGAGCTTCCATTGATATTGATTTTCTACTGTAGACAGTAGGCTAGAGAGCTGGCTTTGCAAAAAGATTTATTGATCCATTGTTTGGTGATTGTATATGCAGTGTCAGAACATTAGAGGTCCACTTTGTCTTCTTCTCTCAAAATAAGGAAATAAAAAAATAATAAAGGAAACCCGAAATCAAATGCTAGAAAGCTGGAAAGGAGATCGAATTTGCCCCCCACAACGTTCCACAGAACATCCCCTCTGTGTATTGGGAACATTATCAATTCTATTATCATCATCGTGAGATGTTCTCAATACAGGGCGGGGATGTGATGTAGGACATTGTGGGGGGCAGTTTTGTGGGGGACTGATTTGAACTCAGAGGGAAGAGGGGAGATGGAACGGAAATAATTAATCCTGCAGTTCAATTATTGAGTTAAAATCAGCCCCCCACAAAATAGTTTTCCACAACGTCTCACAGCACATCCCCGTGGTGTATTGGGAACATCTCCCAAAAATGCTTTATCATTTCTGATATTATCATTGGGAGATATTTTTAATATACGGCAGAATTGTGTTGTGGGATGTTGTGGGTATGCTACCCACATGATATACAACCCACATGACATTGCAGTGGCACATTGAGAACATTTCTCGTACTTGTAAGTATTATTAATGCGGATGTTCTGGATGTAAAGCTGCCATTCATGAGAAGATATGGGTCTTCAACTCCCTCCCAAGGCCCCAGATTGTTGGGACCAACATTGAATAATGGCCTTTTCTTCTGCTAAATATTATAAGCTAAAGAACTATGGTCTCTATGTACATGATATGGACAAAAAGATTCAAAAAACCTACTTAATAGCAACTGCTTGCTGCTTGTACTTCTTGCTTTTTTGCTGCTTCTAGGCCTCGAATTGGATTGAGAGCGCACCTGAAAGTGGGATTTAATATTTTACATTTATATAGTTCTATCATTAATTAAGAGCTCTATTATAGAAGATCCAGAGCCATGAAATGAATTCGGATCTCCTGTCCACGTCTACACACAACACACCACCCCCTGTGAATTGAGAACATCTCCCTTTGCATAATATTATGCAGAGGATGAGATGTTCTTCATGAGTGACCGGGATAATGAGCAGGGTTCTCATTGGCAGGAGATCCGGACTCGAATGAAATCAAATCGGGTGCATCAGATTACATTCAATCAACTCAATGGACCTTACTTGTCAGTATACTTTTTCCTAAACTAACCGTTCAACCTATTGATCACGGTTCGTGGTTTTTTTTACCGAACTGCTCCTTTTGGTTTTCAAAATCAGTGGGTTAATAGGTTGATTTTTTTTTTTTTGACTTTTTGATTAATCAAAACTGAACAGGTACATTTGATTTTTCAAAAATACCAACCAAAATCGAACTGACTAGTTTGGCAGTTTCGAAGAGCACCCCCTACTGCCTACCTAATACACCCCCTCATGAACGTCAACAAGTATAGCCTCACTCCTACCATGTGCAGAATTTTGATTAATTATAAAAGGGTGGCGAGAATGGAATTCTATTAGTACCATCTCAAGGAACCATCAGTAAGAACTTAAACTATTAGGTGAGGTCCCTAAAGAGGATTTTATTCTCCGACACTTTTAAAGGGAATGGTGGAATGGCTCTATGATTATCATACATATATGTTTTCCTTTAATACGCAAATATTTAGAAACTTTTACCCCTTAAACGTAGAGGTGTAAAGTGGGTTGTGTCAGGGCAGCACGGCACGGCACGGCCCGTGGGCGTGCAAAGTGTGGGCCGTTAAGGGCTATGTCACCCTCCCTGGTGAAAATTTTGGGGGTCGGCCCAGCACGGCCCACAACCTAGGCCCGTGCAAGCCCATGGGCCGAGCCTTGGGCCTGGTCGGGCCGTGCATCGGGCCAAAGCTATTTATTTAAAAAAATGACAAAAAACTTAAAATTTTAATTTTATATGAATTTTGTGTATACAATTGCTTATATATACAATAATTAAATATATTAGTATAATAAAATTAAAAATTTATTTATTTTATTAATATATTATATATCATATTCTATATATTATTATATAATTATAATTTATATACTATTATATAAATATATATAATATATATATGGGCCATGTCAGGCCGTGCCATGGGCTGAGCTGCAGGTTGGGTCGTGTCGTGCCGGCCCATGGACTTAAAACCCCAGGGCCAACATGGCCTGCATGATCATGTCGGGCCTGACATGGCCCACGAATTGTCGTATTGGGCTGGTCCAAATTTGTGCTGAACCACAAACAACACGACCCGATTTACACCTCTACTTAAAAGTAGATACTTGTAACTAAAACTCATCTGTCCTCACCTATTATTTCTGATGTAACTGTTTCTAGTCACGTACCAATTTTTTTGTGATGTACCAATCTTTTGGCTAAGTACTTCGTCATTTGACCTGCTCCCAAGTGGCCTGTGACTCAGAGGATGACGGAGCTCCTGGTGGCGAACTGCCTGGTGGTGAGCTACTTAATGGCGAATTCCCTAGTGGTGAGCTACTTGGTGACGATCTCTCTGGTGGTGAGCTACCTAGTGACGAGCTCCCTAGTAGTGAGCCACCTTGATGAGCTACTAGGTGCGCTGCCTTGGTGGCGAGCTCCCTGGTGTAGTGCAACTCGACTGCCCTCTACATGAGATGATCTACTCCTCTTTGTAGACGGCGGGAGCCGAGGAACCTGCGAGAACTGAATCAGATGACCCAGGGGTGTTTACCCGGCAGGGCCACTCCGATGGATAAGTTAACACTCTGATAGTAGAGAGCTTGAAGATGATATTAGAGAAATGAGAGAGCTAGAAACCAGGGGTTACCTCAATTTTTCCCTCCTTCTTCCCCTCTAGGGGATCGGAGCTCTTATATAGCGGTGTCCTGACAGATCTGGCGTAACCGCCTCTGACTCTTTGTCGCAGCCGTTACTTGCCAGGGCTGAGCTGGTGGGCGCAGGTAACCGTTGCAGGGTACAGCCCTGTCAGACATGAGGCGTTGTCAGAGTTGGCAGGCACGACGCCGCCTGGCCAGGACGTGGGTGCAATCTCCAGATCTGGCAGGTACAATTGTCAAATAGGAAATCTTCTTGCGATACGCCGAGCTGCTCTGCAATGAGCTACCTTACACCGAGCTACTTTTTACCGAGCTACTTTTCACCGAGTTACCGGTAATGTGCCAAGGTGCTTCTACCCAAGGCAGGTCTTCGTGGCCTACTAGGAGGCAAGCTCTTCGTAAGATGTCGGGCTGCCTGTGGCCAGCTGCCTGTGGCGAGCTATGTCGAGCTGCTTGTAAGTGGCGAGCAGCCTGTGGCGAGCTATGCCGAGCTGCCTATAAGTGGCCAACTACCTATGGCGAGCTATGCCGAGCTGCTTGTAAGTGGTGAACAATACCGAACTGCCTGTACCTAGCTCAAACTGTCTAGTTGTCAAGAGGCTGTACTTATTTGGCATGAGATGACAGGTGTCACAATTTTACTGAAGGGCCAAATCCACCCTCATCAATTTCATTAGAAAATACATTTGAGGCATCCACCAGTACTAAAGAACACCTCAACTAGTTCGAAGTGCAACAACCCAAGAGATAAGACCATCATAAACAAAAAGACAGCCTTTAACAAGCAACTCAGTTTCATGCTAAAAAGAAGAAGAACAATGCATTACACTTGAAAGGCAAGGATCAATTGATTAAGATGTAGGGACCTTAATATCTCAAGCGAAAAAGAACCAAGGACAATGTAATCCCAAAAGGCAAGAATCACTTGATTAAGGGATTGGAACCTTAATAT